GTCGTCGAGGTTGAGAAACCCTGTTCTAGACAATTCCTTGGAAAGTATTGGAGAAAGACATGGGAAATTTCAGGGAAACAGAGGAAAAGAGACTTCTATGAGATTGCTAACACAGATCAGCCAATATTTATTTATTTACTTTAATTGTATGTGACCCTCATGTTTCATCAGCTGTATCAGCTGGCAACTCATTCTGCTGCCAGATTAGAAAGGTAGTGAGGGATTTTTATCTTTTGAACCATGCAGAATCAGAATATCTAAGGAATGCTTCCCACCTATGAAGCTCTGGAGATCATCCTCTACATGCCTTCATCAAATTGAGGCAAAGGGCTACCAAGGCCTTCCTGGTTAAGAGGCCCCACTTATGAAATGCCTTCCTCAGGAAAATCCACCCACCACTAATATTGATCTTTTTTCATCACCAGTCAAAGACATTCCACTTCTCCTAGGCAGCATCGATTTACATTGCTTGGCACTACGGTGGACAACAGTGGGAGTAATTGCTCCACTGGATTCTGCCTTGGTCAGCTCCACATGCAATGCTTTGTCATCAAGAGCAAATGAAGACAAATGCTGTATCCGATCCTCCAAACAGATTTCCTGGAGATTAATAGAAGAACTAAAACGCAACTTGAGATGTTTCCTCAAGCCCCCCAAAGCTCACCAGATACGAACTGGGCCCGATGTTTGTAGACTCTGCTGATGGCACTGTGCCACTGCTGCTGGGCTGGGGATATTCATAGGTTTCACAGGAAGAAGCTGGAATCAAAGGCATGAAAATTAACATAAAGAAACAGAAGAGCAAGTCAATTGAGACGTTCCTCTAATACCACATCCCCATTCTTCACACAGGTTGGGGCTGCACCTAAGGGGAAATCTGGGAAAAAAACCTTTATCCAAAATACCTCTTCCCAGAGAAAACAAAGCACTAGCTCGGCTACATGGCATCCAGTTAGGCAAGTACAATTATTCCTTTTTTGGAAATACATTTTCCCAACTCAACTCAACTCAACTCAACTCAACTCAACTCAACTCAACTCAACTCTCAACTCAACTGTCAGTTCTACTATTAAACATTTAGAAGGACCAGAAAGCATAATAAGCTGGAATAAGATACTGCAAGGCGAGCAGGGCTCTGAGAAAGCAGAAGAAACTCACTCCCTAGAAAGAAACTATGGAATACCGCCTCTCTGTTCTCTCAGAGGCCTTACTGTCTTTGTAGTCCTGCCCTATTATCGCAAAATGTACACCCTGATTGCCTCACTGACCTCACCAGATGCAGGATGTGCTGTATCTAGTCAAATACCTGGCTATGATCGATACCCAAATACCTTGCTATTGAACCCAATCCCATATCTACTCTCATTTGCCTAAGTCTATAAAGAGGGACTGGAACCCCTCACCTCTTTGGGGTCTCATTTTGCCTCCAGAGCTGATCAATGCACCAATTAATGCTTCAATGAATGCATGCTGGTCTCCGCTTTGAAGAAACTCAAAAGTTCTCCTATAGCATGTTTCTGGAACTTCTGAGATTTGTAGTCCCAGGACATTTGGAAACACTGTTGGAAGTTCCCACGGCAAGATCTCCTTAAACAGGTGTTCCTTGACCCTGGAGGAAGCAAGGTGGTACTCACAGGTACCAGTATGTTCCCAACACCTACCTCGTGCCCATAAGTTTCCCTGTTTTTTTTTAATGATTCCTTTAATTAAAATTAAATAAATGGGAAGATGCCTCAGTCTCTAGCAACCTATTTATCTGCAACTATGTTTTTCACCCGTACAAATATCCTCCTGCAATGGGAGATAACATCCTGGAGAAGTCACTTTGCCTTCTGGTCAAAGGGTATTTACTGATTGCTCAATCTCCCAAGGGCTTTATTTAGGGAGTGGGTCAACCACCTGCTCCCCAAATTCCATGTGCTCTGGGTCCCCAAAAGGTTCCCTTCTCCTGCTTTAGGCTGATGCCTTCTGATAGCCAGTAATTGTACTCCAATGTCCCTTCTGCTATGAAATGTATAATATGTATACTTGCATTCTCCACATAATAACTTCATTCTATTTTCTATAGATCTCCTATTCTGTTCTCTGTGAATTCTACTATGATCTCTATCTCTCCTTCTATTGCTAGCTGACCAGAAAAGGGGAAGGGGAAAGGGAGGAGGAGGAGGAGGAGGAGGAGGAGGAGGAGGAGGAGGAGGAGGA